ACAAACACATCAAAGCCCCACAAACGAAGGAAGCCGTTGAGTTTCGAAATCTGTACATCCAGCTCCGCGCTATGAAGCGCAAGACTGGAAGGGACAGTCAAATGTGAAATGGACATCTCACAAGGGAGTTGTCGCACAAACCGACCCAGGCGCACTCAAGCTTCTATAATTGTAAACGGTTCGGGTTGCCGGCTTGGCCAGAATGCTTTTGGCTGGCTTCGAGGTACTGTGTTTTGGTTTGCCTTGAACTGTTGTGTTTGGATTGAGTTGGCACCGAGCGAAGCGAAGATGTAAGGAATTTGACCGGTTTCTAGAGCGAGTTTGACTGGTTTCTAAAGGAATTTTTGAGGGGATTTGACTGGTTTGCGGAGGGAAAATTTGACCATGACAGGGGGCCGGGCAAAAAAGGAAGCTGGCTGTGCTGGCGTTGGAAGCAGCCTTACGCTTGTGGAGCCAAGAGCCGATTGGAGGGGTGTGGCCAAAAAAGGAAGCAGGTTAGGTGTTGAGGAACTGGGCCCGGGGAGGGCGCCAAAATCTGACCGCTTCCCGGCCTGGGTCAGACGGCCGCGCGACATGGGTTGGGGGTGGGTGGGTGGACGTTTAGAACTTTGCAGAAGCTGCATGTTGCTACATTTTTACTTGGGATGCTTGCCTGGAATGGTGCAACGGAATCTTCATGGGCCAGGCCTGCGTACCTGTGCTTGTGCGTTCTGTAACAATAGTGCAAACACTGCAGCCGGTTTGCTCAAACACGATCCTTCTGCAAAAAATGAGAAGCACTCGACAGCCCGTGCGCACACACAATAAGCAAGACGAGTGCACCGGGGGGGAGGCGGGCGTAATATGTACACATACATATAGACACGTACAAACATTGGATTGCAAACCCTTGCAAGGTAAGGTCTGGATTGCTGACTCTTGCAAGGCTTTGGAATTTTGGTATTTTAGTGGCTTCCCACTTTTTGCACTCTTTCCACACTTGTCCCAAACTCTTGTCGTCCTGTCTTTTGTAGTTGCTCCATTGTATTCCGTATTTTGCCCGTGGTCTTCCGGTCACTCCCCTAGTTCGTCAAAAAGAGATTGGGGTCAGGAATAGGAGTGGGCCTGGGTGAGGAAATCAGGCACATTCGGCAGTTGTTTTCCGCACAGCCCACTCGAGGACCGCACCTGCGGCGGCGGCCAATCCCAACGCCAACGCCAGGCCTTGTGGTAAAGGATTGTGCGAAGGTTTGGTTTCGCTTCCTTTTGGCCCTGTAAAGCTATCCCAGAAAGGGGTTTCCCATTTTGAGACCAGACTCACATTTTGCCAATGACGCGGCTTGTCTTCCAATCATGGTTTAGCGGGGCTGCAAGGCATTAAGATAGCCCGGCGAGACAGGAGTCCCCATTTTTCGAGGAATGAGTGAGATGACTTGCCTTGCCAGGTGGAGAAATTCCCAATGAACGGAGGAAAGAGCTGCGAACACCAGCTGATCCAGACACAAGGCCTGGAAAATGGCCCAGTGTGGTGGCCTTCAGGCAATCTTTGGTCAATGGGCATTCCGGGCGCAGAAAAGTAGATGGGCATCCCGCGGCATCCCCAAACCTGGGCTGGGGGTCCAACTTTGAGACGACATTTGGGCTGCGGGGCCAGCCGAAACCCTAGGCCAGCCTCCAAAAAAGGGATGGAAGGGATGCGCGTCTTTGGAGCATTACAATCTGTCAGGATGCAACGCAGAGGCCTGCAGCTCCAAGGACCGCGGAACCTGCATTGGAGTTGCAGGTTCGCAGAACGCGCCAAAATTGAATCGGGCGCACGAAGCGTCGGTTTTCAGTGCACATGCGCAAGGACGCTCAAGTTGGTGAGTGGTCTGACTGGAGCCAGTGCTCCGCAACCTGCGGCCCAGCTATGCAGGAGTGAGCAATACCCCATGTATTCGTATCCAGCGGTGTCCCTCGAGTGATTGATGTCGTTTTGATTTCCAGCCAGCCAGAACAGGGCTTAATATGTACAGTCACGTGTTTCAAAAAAAATGCTTTTGTGAGCCAGCTCACGCTCTCTTTCTCCCTCTATCTCTCCCTCTCCATTTTTATCTTTATCCTTCTCTTTCTCTTTTTCGTTCTCTTCTGTTTCTCTTTCTCTTCTCTTTCTCTGCATGCATACAGCGCAAAACCTTCACCTTGAGCCATAAAACAATCCCAAGACGTTAGGCCAACGTGAACCAAATCCCCAAGTCATATCGCAGGCTGTAGGCTTAAGCCTTTCTTTTTATTCACCCAGGCCTTGTCCTTGCTGCCCTAGACTTTGAACGTATTGAGCCATAAGCCAAGATGCAAACCCGACTGCCTGGCCAAGCACGAGCCAGCCCGCAAGGGGAGAATGCGGCATGTGATTGACCACCCAAGCCCATAGCAAAGAGGAGGCATATGTTCCACGTCAGTTTCCCACCCTGGGAGGAGCGGAGCAGGCACGTCATCTCCTTGCGTGGCGAGGGGGGTGCAGGGATCGCTACCAACCTTGGCGAGACGCGGGCCTGTGCTGCGAGCTGAGATTTTACAAATGAGTCCAGGACAAGGAGCATCATTGGTTCTTTTTGGGAACTTACTTATTGTTTGGGATTGAGATTGAGACAAAGCCATAGGGGGTACATCATCCGGGTTTCGGAACTGAGTAGCAGGGCAGCTGGAGTGCCAAGGCCGGAAACCTTCCATGTGAGACCAACGACTGTGAGTGGGGTGACTGGTCGGTCCAGTGCTCAGCCAAAGCGGTGGAGTGGAGGCCCAGTGTTTTTGCGGGGCCGTATCTCGCCCATAGAAGTGGACACACAGCCTAGCACCTCCCAGTTGACAGCGGTCCCGGACACGTGGGTGTCTTTTGAGGCTACCCTTCTTGATGTTGTTTGAAAGGGAAGGGTTCCTCTATATGGGGACAAGCCCATTTGTTGGTCGGGCTTCAGGCGGTTTGTGGCTCAGGGCTGGAGCGACTGCACCTGTACTTGCGATGGTGGCCAGAGGACGCGATCCTCTTCCAACAGTCAATGGATTCTTGTTGGGAAGGGTTGTTGGGCATATTCCCATATTCCCTCTTGAGAACCAAGCAAGGAAACCAGCATACCGCATACCCCACTTTGGTGGGAATTGGTCAACAAATGCGAGCTCTCAGAGAAACAAGCTGGCCGCATTGTCTCCTTGTCTCCTTGTCCCTGACTGACGTGCCTAAACTCACTATTCGCGTCTTCTCTCTGGGTCCAGTTCAGTGCAGGACGCGGGACCGTTCAGTGCACCGCATGCCCAGCCACGGTGGGAAGCCGTGCCAGCCCAAGGAGCGATGCGAAACAGAGAGCACAGAAGCCCAGGTTGCAGTCCGTCCACTCACTCCTGGTAGTTGGATATGCGTCAGAATGGGGTTTCTTTTTGGCTTCGCTTCAATCCAAGGTGATCAGGGCTTCAAAGCGCACACACACACACATATTGGCATCCATGGGCTCAGCATCTTGTTTTGCATGCAGTCGGATGATTGGCAAAAGCAAGAGACGCATCAGCATGCTGGCAATCCCACTGAACCAATGCTTGCAGATTCAAAGCTGTATGAGAGTCCAATGGGACGAAGCTGCACTTATGTCTCTTTGTTAGTTTGTGTGTTTGTTAGTTTGTGGTTGCTTGCTTGCTTGCTTGCTTGCTTGCTTGCTTGCTTGCTTGCTTGCTTGCTTGCTTGCTTGTTTGTTTCCCATGGACCCAAACAGCCCAATGCCATGGCAATGCGCAGAGCAAGCAATTGAGTTTGATCACGATTGCTTGAGCTCGATGCGCATCAACTCTCCGGAGAAAGCTATCAGTCCAATGAGCAAGTTTCGGCGGCCACGCTTGCACAATGAAGCCAGTCAAATGATGGCCTTGACATGCAGGACAAGGAAGAGATCGAACCTTGCAACACGCAGAAGTGCCAGAACGAGGGATGCATCGCTGCTTTGGCTACTGTAGACTGAGAGTGTTCAGCCTGTACTTGGCCCTCTGCCCTTTGCTCAACTCAGATGGGGGTGTCTCTACTGGGACGGGCAGGTCTGCTTGTTGCTGTTTTTACAAAGGGAGCCAAGGATGTGGCCGCTTAGAGCACCCACCAACTCGAGTGGCGCGGTTGTTGCCTTGCCAACGCGGCGCCGAGGATGGAAAGTTTGGTCAATGGACCGAGTGGGGCATGTGCTCTGCAACTTGCGGAGGAGGAGTTTCCTTTAGGCCGGAGTGAGTGTTGCAGAATTTGGGGATATTTAGATGAGCGCATGGTGAAGCTTTGAGAGAGGCTTGCTCCAAATTCAGGCTTGTCAGTCACATGCAAAGTGCCTGTGTGTTCTGTGCCAAGAGGATTGAACGGATTTCTGCAGAAAGAGTCGCTGTCTCTTTTGTTTTTCTTTGAAGCAGCCTGACCATTGCACCGATAGGCACAGGCAAATCGTTGAGGAGGCCAACGCCTGTGGAAAGGAGCCGGAGGGCAAGGAGCCACTTGCGGCAGTGAGGTCCAAGCTCCTTTGGGTGAAAGTAGATGGCGCAATTTCCCCATTAAGGCTATTTCATGCTTGCCATCTGCTTTCACCCTGATGTTTCCAGGGATGGCCATCAATTTTCACAAACGTCATACATGTTCCTCTTCAGGAACTAGGCCATGGCCCACAGAACAGGTTTTGACTGAGGCTTATGCGGAGTCATTGCCTGCTTGGTGTTATCTTTGCTATCATCATCAATGCGCAATCCTGTTTTTACCTCCATACTGTTTGTGGCGGAGGCTCGTCATCGTATGATGCAACTTGTCTTTCGTGCTAGCATGGAATCCGGGAGAGCTGACCGGGCAGGATAGAGAGACCAGATTCTGCAACACGGAAGTGGACTGTGAGCCTCCTGTGGACTGCCTCTTTGCCTCGTGCCTGCCCTAGTTGGGAACAGCCTCATCGTTGCTTGAAGCACAGGAATGCAAAGAAAAACTGCTTCTTGCAGGTGGAGTTTGTGGACCGAGTGCACGCGCACCTGTGATGGTTTGCAGCGACGCAACAGGCCGAGTAACGTCACTAGTGGATGCGAGCCATTTCCGATGTCAGATGTCAGATATAAAATGTCGCACTACGCATTGCGGTCAGCGCAAGCACAAGCTGTTTCCAATGCTCACCATTCTGGACTGGTCCAACATTTCTTTCCTGGTAAAGCATTGAAAGCCAACCAGAAGGGCACAGCTAGTTTAGCAATCCCACATGTTGCAAACAAATTGAACAGTCGAGACCTACCGTGTACTGGATCGGCTTGAGGCGCTGGGATATCGCGCTTGCAGGAAGACTGCTTAATATCCCTGAGCTAGTAGCCATAGTTTGATCCAAATGCAGCATACTAGCCTAATGCTGAGGAAGCGCAAGAACCAGTCAAATGTCGTCCATGCTGTGGTGACCATTGCCGATTGCAAAGCAAATCCCCGAGTTCAAACTTCAAGCATGAGTATTGTCAAGTCAAATCAGCCTTGTTTTGCCGTGAATTGGGAGTCGTTCAGCCTCAAAGTATTCCCTGCTCGCAATCACGAAAACAGCCCTTGCTCCATCGCCCTTCTGAAGCAACCCTTTTGCGTTGCTGAAACAAGAAAGCTGAGCATGCTCCACGAGCTCAATTTGCTGGATGCCCCTTTCGGCATGGTTTTCAAGGGAATTCGACGAACACTTGAATTTGTGTGATACAAGCTCCAGCCACCTTTGGAGTCGGAGGCGTATTGACCGTTTCGGACGCGGCCACGGAACTTGGTGTGTCGGGAACCTCAAGGAAACCAGGCAAGCGGGGGGTCGGCTGATCAAAAGCGAGACCGTTGCATATGGCCATGTCTTTTTCTGAGGCTGCCCATTTTGCGGGTGATTAACAACAATCAAGGGAAGCCATCCATTTCGGGGGTTGGCACGCAAAGAGGCTGGTCCGGCTCCATGGCGGCAGTCCCTTTTAGCTCTAATAGCTTTTTGATGAGCGGTGTTTCCATCCAAATTCCAGCGTCTCCATTAGTGCTGGTCCTGCCTCGGGATGGGATGACGCACGAGCTTGTTCTTTTCAGCAGGGAGCTATCAGAACTGTGAACATTTCGCCTCAAAACAAGATCATATCAGCGTGTTTCGACATGGTAGTGCCATTCTCAATGATGTCAACCCTGTTATTGATTGATACATTTCTGCGCTAAGTATGGCAAGCTCATTTGGGGAAAGCATGCAATGCCCAGCCATGGTGAAGGTCCCTTCTTGAGGCATTCCCTAATTCAGGTTGGTGAATCACAGGTGCGGAAGATGTGTCCAACATCTTTGACATCCGCCTTGGATCCTTTTCCCTCTCCAGTCGTGTGCTGTTTTCCTTTGCTTTGCTTGGATCTCACGCAGTTGAGGGACGTCTAGCCAGGACTTGCAACCCAGTGGTGGGCGCCGCTTCTCCTTCAGGCTGCGCCGTTGGTCCTCCCGCGGCTCAGCTGAAGCTGCTAGAGCCATTTTTCGACTTGGGACGAAACATGGATTATTTGGCGTCTTGGGGCAGTGGAGGTCTGGGTGAAAAGCTGCTCTTCTATGTCTTTTTGTCTGTTCCTCCTGTGGACGTGTTTTCCAGCCTTGGCCCAGGCTGACTGCCAGTTTTCATTGTGGGGCGCGGCTGCCTCAGTCAAGCGAGCCGAGCGGAATCTTCCGATGGACCATGGTGGACAGAAACGCAAACACAAAGACACAGACACAGTCAGTGGCATGGGAGGTTGAACACTGGCTTGTCTTCAGGCAAACAGACGCATGCCGTATTTTTGCTTCACCTTGTACTGGCAGTTGATTGGCAGCAGCGCATGAAAGAGAAGCATTTCGCGAGAGTGCCATGAGTTTTTGGAGTGTTTCTCATGTTGGCATCGCGGAGTTCAGCATCCAAGGCGTGGTCCACCTGCAGCGCCAGCTGCGACGGTGGCATGCACTCACGGACGCGGAGCGTGTCGGTGGAAGCCGTTAACGGGGGCAAGGTGCGTCAACTGAAGCTGAAACGGGGGAACTGGTGGACTGTCTGGTGGACTCATGTTGGACTCTTTGCACCTTGACCGTTTGAGCTTTGCAGCTTTGTGATCCCTGTTCAGGCCTGCATCGGATCGCTGGCGGAAATCCGCGAATGCAACCGCAACGAGTGCTCCATGCCGCCTCCACGTGATTGCAAGCTGGGCGACTGGCGCGAGTGGGGAGCATGCAGCAAGTGCAGCGGACAGCGATTCCGGAGCAGAAACATCCTGGAGTATGCTGAGAACGGAGGGCTGAATTGCGAGGAAGCTGACACTCAAGAAGCAGCTTCATGTCCGAGACACTGTCATGACGCAAGCTTTTGCGTTTGGTCTGACTGGGAAGCTTGGGGGAGATGTTCAGTGATGTGCGGAACAGGCCGGCTGCAAAATGCTTGATGTGATGCAAATCAGCCTCCGGTTGCGTGCTAAGCTGGAGGCGGGAAGAGAACACGGAGACGGTGGCTGGAAATGACAGAGGATGCAAGTCGAGCCGGTGATGTGCTTCAGCCGGTAGAGGACTCAACGACAAGTGGTGACTGCCTTGGTTGCTAATAGTTGCTCCTTCTTGCACTTGAACGCAGCCTGCAAGCTGCGCAGGAGCTTCTTCAGAGGTATACGGCGCTGTACGGGCACACCCAGGCCTAACACTCTCTCTCTCTCTCTCTCTCTCTCTCTCGCTTTCTCTTTGAGTGCCTCGCACTAGCTTGACTATGTTTGATCACAGCGGTAAGAGCATGATTTGCATGTGTTGCAGGAGCTGCAAGACGGTCACTTGGGAGAGCTGATTGGTGCCTTCGTCGCCGGCCGCTGCCTTTGGTGAAACCACACTGGGCCTTTGATCTAGGCAAGTCACTTTTGGGATCCTGCTGCTCCTGCTCGGTTGCTACTGGCTCAAGGTTCGATCCTTCCCTTCCTTTGCTTCGACCCTTGCACTTGAGCTTGCGTGAAAGCATCGGGCTGTGAACATGGGATGATCTCAGCTGGCAACAGAAGACAGGGGTCTCTGCATGACCAAAATGCAAAGCCCTGTGGTTTTCGGGGCTTGTGCAAAGCCGCTCAGGCTGCTTCGCTTTCGCCGTCCTGCTGGGAATCGCTACAAGAACTGGAAGGCCGGACAACCGGCACCCTCCCAACAGACATCAAAGCTGACAGGTCCCTTGAGGATCCCTGGCCTGAGGAAAGAATCCCCAGGGCTGCCGGTATCTCGCCAGCTTGCAGCCATCCTCCTTTAAAGCTTCATACAACGGAGTATTGGTCAAGGGCCCCGTGTTCGTGGATGGGAAGAACGTGATAGCAGGAGGCCCTCTGCTGTTGTCCTAGCACAAAGACGGCAATTTGCCACATTGCGCAACTTTAGATCAGCACACACACACAATATTGTCTAAGACATGCATAAGGTCACCATACGCGCTGATTGTTTAGTTTTTGGCCGTTTGCTTTGCATCTGTTTTTCCAACGAACGTCCGTCATGCGTGGATTTTGTCTGGTCGCAGCGATGATTGCATGCGCAAATGTCACGTCCCTGATGGCCTTTGCATTTGTACAGCAAATCGTAGCGTGCAAAAGTACTCTTGCTTATCCGGGCTTCCTACATGTCTAAGTTACAACAATAGCATTGCATCAGGCTTCCATCTCACGTCAACTCATGTCCCTGCCATAGGTTAGCAGGCAACGGCACACCCTGTCTTGTCATGACCTGTCATGCGATGTCCCGCCAGATCACTCAGGAGGAACACAACAAGCATTTCACAGAGCACCGTTGTTGGTCGTGTCTGCATTGTGTCATACTGTGTTAACGTTACGGCTGCCCATCGTTTCCCATGGCCTCGCCCCAGCCGGGCCAGAGCCTTCAACCTAAACCCAAAACCCTATATCGAAACCAGCAAACACAGCACTGTTGCAGCTGTGATGATGTCATCTTGAGCTGAACGGCTGAACTAATGAATCTGCGTTGTCGTGACGTGCCTGGGCACGTGAAGCAGCCAGAGGAGCTTAGGCCAGCAGGCAAACGGCGACGGCAACACTACCAGCATTGCCGATCATGTCACAGCAATCACAGCAGAACATCCCATATCTCTGAATGACACGCCGTTGCAGCAAACGGGCACAAGGTTACTTCAAGGCAATCGTGTCAATGTCACCACGTCACATCATGTCATGTCAAGGATCATTACGAGTCACAGTGCGAATCATAGCGCGTCATTGCCCAACCGATGTACCTTCTCGTGGATCAACCATTGCAGGTCGGATAGCTTCTCCGGGGCCTCACGGGCTGTGTCCCGAAGGCCGGTGACACGAACTGGTGAACAAGGCAGTGGATACATGGGTAGATATATATATATATATATATACATATACATATATATATATATATATGTACCAGTCCCTGGGCCACGTACCCCCCCCCCCCCCCCCCAATGGTATGGTCCCCCCACTCCCCCGCATCATCCGCATCTTGGGGATGATGCTGGAATTGCTGGGGATGCTGTCCAGTACCGTGTCCCCCCGCACCTCTCGCAACATCCTACCCTAAACCAAACCACCCTGCAACCCCTCCTTAACCCCAACCCTAAGCCTAAAACAACCCAAACCCCAAACCCACCCGAAACCCCGCAAACCAACCCTGAACCAACCCTGAACCAACCCTAAACCATCCCACCAAGCCTAAACCAACTCCGAACCACACCCCAACCACCCCACCACCCCACCACCCCACCACCCCACCACCCCACAACCCACCCACCCCACCACCCCACCACCCACCCACCCCCCCACAGGGGGGGGTTGGGGGGGGGGGGGGGGTCCACGGCCTGGAACATATATATATATATATATGCCCCCCCCGCCATGGACCCTGGTTTTGCTGCCTTTTGGTGATGGTAAATCTAGAATCTCAGAATTTGAATTTTCGAAAGTTCCAATTGTGGGTCCCCAAAGCCGGAGAATTTGGAGCCCGGAGTCCTCCAGAATGTCCAAATATGATACCCTTTCCAAATAGAATTTTACTTCAACTAGAATTGGCATTTTGAATATAGTTTAGTAAGGATATAGTTTTCATGTTCAATTACAGCTTAAGTAAGCAAATCCTGTCCAAATACGAGCTACATGAAAATGTAAATATAGTTTCGGGTAAACTCCATCTAATCTTTAACAAAATAAGTTAGATAGGGGTTTATTCAACAAACATAGTTTAAGTGTTAAATATAATTGTAAACGCTTCGCGTTGCCCGCCTCGGCCCAGCCTAGTTTGAGGGAAGGGTCAGGAACACCGAAATCCAGTGTTGGGAAGGTCCGAATCCGACTGAAAGCTTGTGACCGCACCAGTTCGCCCGTGCTAGTTCGATGTTCGGAAGCCGTCCTGCTCGGAAGGTTTGAAATCCAAAACCAAGACTATCTCAGCTGCTCAGTGCCCTTGGAAAAAAAAGGACCTCTTTCTGGGGATGAGCATTTTTAGTGGGGCTTGGCCTCCATAAAAAGGGGAACAATAATTGGTGTCACTGAACAACCAAGACCAACTTTGGGTGTTTGGGCACCTCCATTTCACGTGGCTGGCGGCTTGCCATGACATACATTTCTTGCTCGGTTGCTCAGCCCAAGACAGGTACATGGTGGGAATACAAACCTCCATTTGCTTAAGTACCCCGCAAAAATATCCCCACTAGACACGCCAGCAGGCGGGCTGAGGGACTGGGCCTGAGGCTAGTCAGGCTGGCATACCTTGAGACGGAAGGGGCTGGGCCTGCTGGATGACTTTGGGGCCAGACACGAGCAGGAGGTCAAGGCCTGGTCAGCCTGGGCTGAGCTGCTTGGGCAGCCGGACTGGGGGGCTGGGGCACGTCAGACAGGCTTGGTAGCTGGCGTAGCTTGAGACCAGTCTCAGGCACGTGAAGCTAGTCTCAGCCACGAGGCTGCGAAGCCATGCATGGGGCTGGCTGCCGGGCAGCCGGACTACGCTGCTGGTTGCGCCTGGAACTTGGGCTGGGCGGGCTGGGCTGAGCTGTGCTTGGGCGGGTTGCTGGATGGGCAAGGCCTGTTTCATACACACTTGGGCCTGAGGCTGGGTGGCGAGTTGCTGGCTGGGCTGGGCCTGAGGCCAGTCGGGCTGAGGGACTGGGGCACGTCAGACAGGCTTAGTAGCTGGCAGCTGACCAGTCTCAGACACGTGGAGCTGTGGCTGGCATGCCTGAGATGCGGGGCCTGGGCTGGGCAGGGTGGGTTGCTGGCTGCCGGGCAGCCGGACTACGGGCTGGGCTGAGCTGTGCTTGGGCGGGTTGCTGGATGGGCAAGGCCTGTTTCATACACACTTGGGCCTGAGCAGTCGCAGACACGTAAGACACGCCAGCAGGCGGGCTGAGGGACTGGGCCTGAGGCTAGTCTCAGGCTGGCATACTTTGAGACCAGTCCACCAGCAGGCAGCGTGCCAAGGTCGGTTTTGTCTAACGTGTCTCAAACTGGCCTCAGGCCAACGACCAGTCTCACGTGTCTGTGTCTGAGACTGGTCTCAAGCCACGCCAACTACTGAGCCTGTCTGACGTGCCCCGGCTAAGCAGCTCAGCCCAGGCCGACCTCCTGCTTGGCGGGCTGGGCTGACAGGCCTGGCCAGCAGGCGGTTGCTGGTTGGGCTGGGCCTGAGCCTAGTCCAATTGTCAGCACATTTTCGGAAAAAATGGACCCATGGAGCTGGACGCCGACGAACCCCGAAAATTTCAAGGCCCGCCGGACAGGATTTTGGGCCAGCCGACATGGGTGGGGGTGGGCGGCCCAGCAAAATTTTGGGGAGGGGGTTGGGAGGGGAAAAGCGAAGATTCTCTTTGGAGAAGAGATCTGAGCGCCCTTGGCCCCTTTGGGGCCGAGGCGAATCTAATACAAGCGCAATTCAATTAGCTTTTGGTAATAGCAATTAGATAGAGACTACTTCTCAAATATAATTCATATTAAATATGACTAAATATTTGAGGCAAGCTGCAATGTTGAATATCCTTTGTTTTCTGGACAATGCTTTCCAGGGCAATTGCGATTCTTGAATCTTGGTAAGATGCTTGTCCTTTTCGTTCCAGCAATATTCAAACTTCCTTCGTTGGTCCCGTTTCTGTAATTTCCCAGGGGAACGCTTGTTTTCTTTTATTGCTTTCATGGAATTGCGTTGTGTCCAATCCCAGAGTAAGATGGCTTCTTACACTATGCTATTGTCTTAAACTGATTCCATGGCCTTGTTCTGGAGTCAAGATGTTGGAGAAGGCTTCCCTGGGCAATTGT